ATAGATATATTTTTCCCCTGTTGCGTGTTGCTCAGGTTCCCGGGCTCGCAGCCCGCAGCGCTCGGGGCTGACTGTTCCCTGCTGTGTCTGCAGGTGTGCGCCGGGCAGGGGCAGCGGGCACAGCGGGCACAGCGGGCACAGCGGGCACAGCTGGCACAGCGGGCACAGCTGGCACAGCGGGCACAGCGGGCACAGCGGGCACAGCTGGCACAGCTGGCTCGGGCCGTGGCCGCGCTGGGCAGCCTGTGTGCAGATGTGGGGCTGCGGGCACAGCTGGCACGGAGCGGGCAGTGCTGGCAGGCCTGCCTGCAGCTGCTGGTAAGGGAACCCCAGCTCGTGTGCCCCCAGCCCAGCCGCGATTTGGGGGAGGTCCAGAGCTGCCCCCCCCGGCTCTGTCCCTGCAGGGCCCTTCCAAATCCAGGCTTTGCTTCTAGTCAGTGCTCTTGGGCACAGAAAGCTTGAAATTCTACAGCACAGAAAGTTTAAAATTCTAGTTGAAAACACTTCAGCACAGAAAGTTTAAAATTCTAGTTCAAAACTTCAGCAGAGCAAGTTTAAAATTCTACTTTAAAGTGCTTCAGCACAGAAAGCTTAAAATTCCAGTTCAAAAGTCTTCAGCACAGGTTTAAAATTCTTCAGCATAGAAATGTTTAAAATTCTTCAGCACAGAAGGTTTAAAATTCGAGTTCAAAACTCTTCAGCAGAGCAAGTTTAAAACTCTAGTTTAAAACGCTTCGGCACACAAAGTTTAAAAGTCTAGTATAAAATGCTTCAGCACAGAAAGTTTAAAACTCTTCAGTACAGAAAGTTTAAAACTCTAGTTTAAGACTCTTCAGCATAGAAAGTTTATAATTCTAGCTTAAAACTCTTCATCACAGAAGTTTTAAAATTCTTCAGCACAGAAAGGGTAAAAATTCTTCAGCACAGAAAGTTTAAAATTGTAGTTTAAAACTCCTCAGCACAGAAGGTTTAAAATTCTTCAGCACAGAAAGTTTAGAATTCTTCAGCACAGAAAGTTTAAAATTCTAGTTTAAAACTCTTCAGCACAGAAAGTTTAAAACTCTTCAGCTCAGAAAGTTTAAAACTCTAGTTTAAAATTCTTCAGCACAGAAAGTTAAAAATTCTAATTTAAAACTCTTCAGCACAGAAAGTTAAAAATTCTTCAACAGAGAAAGTTTAAAATTCCAATTTAAACCTCTTCAGCACAGAAAGTTTGAAATTCTTCAGCACAGAAAGTTTGAAATTCTAGTTTAAACCTCTTCATCAGAGCAAGTTTACAGTTCCAGGATTCCAACGCCTTGCAGGCGAGGCTGTGCTGTGAGCAGTCCCCAAAGCCTGAAGGTTCGGGGCTGGGACGGGATCCCTGTAACATCCCCAAATTCCCAAATTTTGGGGTGCAGCTTCGGGTGCCAAGCACGAGGCTTCGTGTCCCAGTCTTGCCCTGCCCAGGAGCCAAGCCCTGGAGCTGATTTCGGTGCCCGGCTCTCTCGCAGGGTGATGCCAGCACCCCTGGGTACCAGCAGTGCGTGTTTGCAGTGCTGGGGCTGATGATGAACCTGCTGCTGGAATCCAACGGCACCATCCAGGTAGGAACATCTGGGAATGAAAAAATAATTACAGTGCTGCAGTGTGGGAATGCAGAGCTTCCCTCTGGCTGCCCTGGGACCCTGGCAGGGGTCAGGAACCCCCTGGACAGAGCCCCCAGAGACACTGGCTGTGATCTCTGCCCATGGAAAAGAGTTTTCAATCTCACAGGATCAATTACCAGCTCTGAGTGTTTGATATCAGTAATAACTAAGTGTGGCACGGGTGCAAAAGTAAAATTTTAGGATTCTAGATGAGGGGTCCAAAGGGGACAAGCTGGAGGAAATTGGGTGTGCCTTGTCCTTTTTCTCCTTCTTCATGCCCTCCATGTCTCACTGTGGTGTTGGCATTTTTCTGTTGGTTCAGGCTGGGGACACACTGTCCAACGTAGGTGACAGATATTGGCACGTTCTTGTAAATCCAGCCCAGGGAGTTTCTGGTATTGAATGTCTGTCACATCCCACTGAGGGCAGAGCCCCACACGCTGCCCTGCAGGACAGAGCTGGGCAGGGCAGCAGAACATGTGAGAGATAAACAGAATAAACAACCTGGAAACCAGCACAGACCAATTATGGCTTCTGCTTTGGCAGCGGGCTGACAGACAGAGACTTTCTACAATCTCAGAATCATCAATACCTCAGATTCCAACACTGCAGGTTGTTTTTAAGGGTAGTTGACAATTTAAAAGTAGGCTGAAAAGTGGAAAAAGCTACAGAATTTTCTCCTCTGCCACCATCTCCAATATATAAACAGCTATGAGGAAAAACCAGTGTGCAGTGCATAAATTATCTTTCCCTAGTGGTCTAAATGCTGTCTCTGGAATCTCTCTCCAGCTGTGCCATGTTCTGAGGTCCTGGCTGCTTTCCAAAATTATCCCCCAGGAGGGAGGACTCCCCAGGGTGCTGCAGAGCTGGGCACACCCGGCTGTCCCCTGATCTCCAGGGCATCCCTTGTCCCTGAGCCCAGTTCTGCTCCAGCCCGCCCAGCCCCAGCTGCAGCCCAGTTTCCCCTGGGTATCCCCTGAGTATCCCCAGAGTTTCCCCTGAGTTTCCCCTGAGTATCCCCTGGGTATCCCCTGGATATCCCCTGAGTATCTCCAGAATTTCCCCTGAGTATCCCCTGAGTATCCCCAGAATTTCCCCTGAGTTTCCCCTGAGTATCCCCTAGGTATCCCCTGAGTATCCCCAGAGTTTCCCCTGAGTTTCCCCTGAGTTTCCCCTGAGTTTCCCCTGAGTATCCCCTGAGTATCCCCTGGGTTTCCCCTGAGTTTCCCCTGAGTTTCCCCTGGATATCCCCTGAGTATCCCCAGAATTTCCCCTGAGTTTCCCCTGAGTATCCCCTAGGTATCCCCTGAGTATCCCCTGAGTATCCCCTGAGTTTCCCCTGAGTTTCCCCTGAGTTTCCCCTGAGTATCCCCTGAGTATCCCCTGAGTTTCCCCTGTCTTTTCCCTGAGTTTTCCCTGAATTTCCCCTGAGTTTCCCCTGAGTTTCCCCTGTCTTTTCCCTGAGTGTTCCCTGTGTTGTTTTCCCTGTGTTTTCTTCCCTGTATTTTTTTCCCATGTTGTTTTTCCTGACTTTTCCCTAAGTTTCCCATGAGTTTCCCTTGAGTATTCCCTGTGTTGTTTTCCCTGTATTTTCCATGACTTATTTTCCCTGAGTTTTTCCTGACTTATTTTCCGAGTTTTCCCTGTTTTCTCTGTGTTTTCCCTGACTTTTCCCTGACTATTCCCTGTGTTGTTTTCTCTGTATTTTCCCTGAGTTTTTCCTGAGTTTTCCCTGTATTTTCCCTTTGTTTTCCCTGACTTTTCCCTGAGTTTCCCCTGAGTTTCCCCTGAGTTTCCCCTGAGTTTCCCCTGTGTTTTCCAGGACTTTGCTGTGGCCATCAGTGGCAGTTGCCTGGCTCTGCTCAACCATCAGGATGGAAAGATTATCACAGTAAGTCACCAGCAAAAAAAAACACAAAAAAACCAAAAAACAGCAGGGTTTGGCTTTCCTGAGCTCTTCAGAGCAAACTTCTGCCCTGTGCAGGAGGCTTTGAAGCATAAAACTCTCCTAACAGCAATAAAGAAATAACAGACCACTTTTATATTCATTTTCATATGGTTTGATGCGAGATGTTCTCAAGGTTCTCCTGAAATCTGTTTAATAGAAGCTCTTACAAACCATTTCGGTATGGGACCTGTGAAAAATGCATATTTTATGATTGGCTTTTCACAAATATTAAATTGAATACCATATGTATTCTGTTATATTGATTAGAAGTGCTGTATTAACATTTTAATAGCGTGGTAAATGTAGTTTTGTAGTTTAAAATGAAGCTTTAGTAGTTANTTTCCCCTGAGTTTCCCCTGTCTTTTCCCTGAGTGTTCCCTGTGTTGTTTTCCCTGTGTTTTCTTCCCTGTATTTTTTTCCCATGTTGTTTTTCCTGACTTTTCCCTAAGTTTCCCATGAGTTTCCCTTGAGTATTCCCTGTGTTGTTTTCCCTGTATTTTCCATGACTTATTTTCCCTGAGTTTTTCCTGACTTATTTTCCGAGTTTTCCCTGTTTTCTCTGTGTTTTCCCTGACTTTTCCCTGACTATTCCCTGTGTTGTTTTCTCTGTATTTTCCCTGAGTTTTTCCTGAGTTTTCCCTGTATTTTCCCTTTGTTTTCCCTGACTTTTCCCTGAGTTTCCCCTGAGTTTCCCCTGAGTTTCCCCTGAGTTTCCCCTGTGTTTTCCAGGACTTTGCTGTGGCCATCAGTGGCAGTTGCCTGGCTCTGCTCAACCATCAGGATGGAAAGATTATCACAGTAAGTCACCAGCAAAAAAAAACACAAAAAAACCAAAAAACAGCAGGGTTTGGCTTTCCTGAGCTCTTCAGAGCAAACTTCTGCCCTGTGCAGGAGGCTTTGAAGCATAAAACTCTCCTAACAGCAATAAAGAAATAACAGACCACTTTTATATTCATTTTCATATGGTTTGATGCGAGATGTTCTCAAGGTTCTCCTGAAATCTGTTTAATAGAAGCTCTTACAAACCATTTCGGTATGGGACCTGTGAAAAATGCATATTTTATGATTGGCTTTTCACAAATATTAAATTGAATACCATATGTATTCTGTTATATTGATTAGAAGTGCTGTATTAACATTTTAATAGCGTGGTAAATGTAGTTTTGTAGTTTAAAATGAAGCTTTAGTAGTTAAGATAGAAACTATGGATGTGTTTTTTTTTTTTAAATAATGAGATATTCACTTTGAGATAACAGTCACAGAACACCTAAATCTTCCAGAGAAGAGGAATTTTTTGTTTTCTCATCAGAAGAAGCTAATTTCTTCAGACATTGCTCAGGCTCGAAGATGCTGTGGGAATTAAAAGAAGCAGTTGACATATACCAGACAAAATTTCTTATTTTAAATAGAATGTATGCATAACCATGAAATATATATGAATATGCAACAGGCTGTTGCTTTTAAGGGTTATTCCTTTGTTCACTAAACATGTTTTTGGCAGCTCAGTGCCCAAAAACATCCAGATGTCCGTAATTCTTTGCTTTTTATCATCTCGTAGTGTCCTAATCCTCATTGTCCAAATTCTTATTATTCTAATTTTATTACTATTTTTTAATAACTATTTTATTCCTAATAAACTTTTAAAACTTTAAAACCCAAGCGAATCCTTTAAAAATCAGTGGAAACCAAAGCAGCAAGAGCAGTTTGGGTGCTCAGATTTTTCCCTTTGCAGTTTTTGGGTGGGAATTCCAGCTGTGCTCCTGGGAATGGGGTGGGACAGATGTGGTTTCCCTGAGCTCCCTGGTTTTTTATTTCTCCCAGTGCCAGCAGTGCTGGGCTGCTCCCTGCCAGGAATTTGTATTTTTATTTTTTCAAGGAATGAACAGCCAGAGTCCCAATTTGGGCTCATCCCACCCTGCGCTGGAGCTCTGCTGTGCTCGGTGCCCAAGAAACAACAAAAAAACAAAAAAACCACATCCTAAAGATGCTCTTTGCTAATTTCTCTAATTCTGGGATTTCCGTAATAGAAATTAGGGAAATTTCTCCTTTCAGCACTTCAATTACTTCAGTCTTACCGTGCAAGAAACGAAACAATTGTGCTGCCAGGAGGAATAAATATTTGGGTTGACTTTTTCCTGGTTTTTCCCTCTTTAGAGAGCCCTTGGGGTGCTGAGCCGGGCCCTGCCCGCCTCGCCCGCCGCGGTGCAGGAAGCGGTGCAGGGAGGAGTGGTGAGGAAAATGCTGAAATTCCTGAAAGTAATTCCAGTTTGCTTTATTTCCTCCTGAATCTGCTCAAATTCCTGAAAGTAATTCCAGTTTGCTTTATTTCCTCCTGAATC